ATGAGCATGTTCCAAATTACAAGTGGCTACTCCAAGCATTTCGGAAAGCACATTCAAAACCCCCTATGATGATTCTTACCGACCAATGTCCTGCGATGAAGCAAGCCATTGCATCAGTCTTTCCAGATTCAAGGCACAGGCTTTGTATTTGGCACATCATGAATAAAGTTCCGAACAAGGTTATTAAGAAATCGAAAAACCTTTAGTTGCAGTTTAGTTACGTAATTAATTCTGTTTACTCTTTATTTCTTACATAATTAATTTACTTGCAGTTTAGTTACGATCTTCTTAATAAACCACGTTTAAGAAACAATTTTTCAAGCTCGTATGGAACATTCACATATCACCTGATGAGTTTGAGAGTAGATGGATGGTTCTTATCCAGGAGTTCTCCCTTCAAGATCATCCATGGTTGAAAGATATGTTCGCTCTAAAATCCCAGTGGATACCCGCGTATTTTAAAGAGCTTCCAATGTGTTGCCTCATGAAGACAACATCCAGGTCAGAAAGTGCGAACTCATTCTTTAACTCTTTTTCAAAAAGTGGAAACAATCTTTTTCAGTTTATGTTGGGGTTTGAATTTGCGTTGGAGAAACAACGTCGGGAGCAATGTCGTCTTGATTATCACACGAGAACTACCTTACCTAAATGGTTGACCTATAGCCAGGTGGAGAGGCACGCCTGTGAGATTTACATGCGTTCTGTATTTTTTGAGGTGCAAACCGAGATACACAGGGCTGCGTGGACATGTTCAATTAAGAGTGTCAATTCAAATGAGGAAGCAGAAACATATTTAATTGAACATTTAGACAAAAGAGATGAGAAAATAGCAGAGTATAAGGTATGATCGTATAGAAAGTCATTTATTATTGGTTTTATATATTATTGTTTTTCTTTGAACAACATTTCGATTGTGATATTTGATGTTAGACGTTTATATTATGCACAGGTTGTTCGGAACTTGAAGGAGTCTACCGTTGTTTGTAGTTGCAACCACATCGGTMGTCATGGTTATTTATGCAGACATGTGTTCAAAGTTTTGCTAAACGCCGGTGTTGAGACTATACCTAAAGAATACATTTTGAGAAGATGGAGACGTGACCTTATAACTATTGCAGTTTCCATGCTTGATATGTCAGTGTCCTCTGTTAGGTAATTGAGAACTGCAGGGTTGCAATGACCACAAGAATTGCATTCTGCCATGGTTGAAAGAAATAGCATCAAAAAGTTAATCCGAAACTCGAAATCTGCATTATCGGACTCTTCAACTTTCTTCATGACATCAGATATTCGTACTATTTTCCCAGCGAATTGTGATCTCCAAGACTTCTTTATATTTTGTTTTCGTGGTGCTGGGTCTGTCAAATAAATATCAACTCCTCCAATAGGGGTCCCTAGCATATCATGCACCATCTTCGTATTCAACTTAATTGTCCCTTGGCCCAATCGAAGTTCCATCGTGCATGTGTCCAGCTTGTCCACCAAGTAAAATGCTAATTTTGATGGTATGTAATYTGTCCTCATTTTCAATATACCACCAAACCCCATTTCCTCAACCGCTCTCTTCTGATAATCATTCAGTGACTGAATAGCAACACACAGTGGCCTAGGGGTGGTACGGACTCTGATTGTTTGCATCGTACCTGACTTCTTGTTTCTAGTGCTTTTAACGACGACCTTTTTTTCAATTTTCTCTTTTCTTGGACTCCCACCAACAGTAGTTGATTTTAACTTCTTACCTTTTGTAGTTGTTTCTTTTACATTCTTTGAGCTGCTTCTTGTTCTAATTGTGTTATTCACTTCAATATCATGCGTAGGTGAATTTGCTCGTTTATCTTTTTCTGCTTGTGCCTTTGATAATGAGTTTTTCGAAATAGATGGTAAAATAACCCTTATTCCTGAAGATGTGGTAACCACTGTTGGTTTAGCTGCAAATTTGTTTAATTAACAGTGCCGTTATAATTCAGTATAATATTGTATATGGAATTTTTAGCTATAAACTAAGTGATAATGTATGTAGTTATGTATATTGCCTGTTGCCACTCGTATTCTCATTGTTTTTTTTATTCGATTGTATATGAGCGTCATCTTCCGGGATTGTCACTTTCTTCTCTTTAACTCTTTTTGCTTCCTTTGCACATATTTTTGCTCCCTTCTTCTCCTTCTTACCGGTATCTCCTTCCTTTTCTGCATTCTTCTCATTATCTCGCTTCCTTTTAGATTTTTTTCCACCTGAAAGATCAAGAAAAATCAATATTAGACCAAAGTGTAAACTAGAAAATACAATGATAAAAGTCTCTTTAGAAAAGCACATGCATGGTTGCATGAGAATACACAAACACTGCCATGAGTACTGAATGGAAGTTGGAAGGCATATTATTTAGTCAACTACCATATGTCGTCAGCTTCAATCACATTATTCAATGAACTTGAATTCAAAATCTCCATTTTGATTGTTTTCTGTGATGACTCTGTGTCCGTATAGTTTACCACAATGTAGCACAACCACAGTGTTTATGTTAACAATGGCTCACTAGCTAGCCATTGATGGAAAAAAATGAAAAAAATGTCAAATTCTCTCTTGCAGCCGTGCCATGTTCCCATGCTTAAACATGGAAGAATCATCAACGAATATAAATTCATAACCTAATTAAGTGATTCTTGTCTGTTTTGTTAATTAACTCTCTCACAATGACAAGGATTCACTTGTACGATTTCCTCGTATATAAYTTGATGGCTGTAGAAATCCCCTGCTATTGAGCACTTTAACTATTACTGCACCAGTAATGACTCACCAGCCAACTGATCATTATAACTATCTAAGACTAAACCAAGTAARAATTTCAAGGATGAGGTTATGTTGTCCAACAATGAAACCTTCAGTGCCCTTCAAAACTACCAACTAAATCAATGTCGAATGGAAAAAATGCACCATAAATCTTAACAATGGCTCACTAGCTAGCCATTGATGGAAAGAAATGGAACGTTCCATGACACCTGCTCTAATTGTAATGGCTACTTGCATTATTTTTTAGCTTGGATCTGTGCTCTATCAAGTTGGTAATCAGTTTTGATGGTAGTTTTGATTTTTTTTAGACAGAATTTAGAAAGAAAATAGATTTCATACTAGGGGTTGCTTTGATGATTGTATCACCTATTGGGGGGTTAAGGCAGATCATTGTTGAAGCCAAAGACTACGAGTTCTTCTCTTAAAAAGCTTAAATAAAAACAAGCAGGTTGAGGTTGATGTATCCAACTTGCCCAAAATGATATTAAAGAAGATTGTAATAGTATGTGGAGGTATCAATATTCATACAAGGGGGAGATCCCTTTTAAGTTATCTTAAAGAGAGCAAGTATATGCATTTATAGATTGTTTAGAAGGGAAATGGTCATGGAATTATTCAAGAAACTTACTTGCAGAAGTTCCAACCCTTCAATGGAACAGAAAAAGATGAAGGTTTTGGGGTTATAATGAACANTGGAACAGAAAAAGATGAAGGTTTTGGGGTTATAATGAACATAAAATCATCCTTAGTGCAACTGGAATTTTGCTCATTGGAGCATTTACAATCCTATCATTGCTATTCAATAATTGGTGCTCAAGTATAACTTCACAAGGCCAAGCCACAAATCTTTTTCTTCCTAAGTCGATATAAGTTCCTTGTATAATGAGCTTAAGTAATTTAATCAGTTAGTTTAATCATTTACAGGTAAAAGAGGTTATCATTTCTTTCTTTATCTTGATGGAACAAGGCAAAGCCACTCTAAAGGTATTGCTCCTTGTATATATGGACCAGATTTGCACAATACCTACAAGTAATTAATAAGCATGATGCAGGAACTCGACATTCGTTGTGAGGAACTAATAAAGGAAGAGTTTGGTGAGAGATGCAACTTCGACGTGTATGATGCAGTMCAGAAATTGGAAAAGTTGGGAATAATTGCTAAGGTGAATTACTTGTTTTCTTTTCTCTTATCTTCTATGCCAATGCCAATACCAATGCCAAAGCCAATGCCAGTGCCAACTTTATAATAATAATAATAATAATAATTATTATTATTATTATTTTGTTTCTGAATTTAGGATGCAATAGGAAGGTATTACTGTGTTGGTCTTAAACGTGCGAATGAGATCATTGGCACCACCACAGAAGAGCTGGTACTTAAGGCAAGGCAGGAGGGCAGTGCTTAAACATTTGGCATGCTCTTGCTCCCGAATCATCTAATAATAAATTATCTCTGTTTTCTGCGTTCCTAAAATTTCAATCATTATTATTAGACTTTGGGGATTCAATTCTAGCGATAATTATATTTGTTGTATTCATAACAATTTCTTTTTGTAATGTATCATCAAGTGAATCATATTCATGTGGGAGGGGTCATTTTAAAATGATTTTACGATGCAATATATATATATATATATATATATATATATATATTATAATATAAAAGAAGATGAATCAGAAGCCTATCAAAGCTTCTGTTCAGTATTGTATCACCTATTGGGGGGTTAAGGCAGATCATTGTTGAAGCCAAAGACTACGAGTTCTTCACTTAAAAAACTTAAATGAAAAGAAGCAGGTTGAGGTTGATGTATCCAACTTGCCCAATATGAAATTAAAGAAGATTGTAATAGTATGTGGAGGTATCAATATTCATWCAAGGGGGAGATCCCTTTTAAGTTATCTTAAAGAGAGCAAGAATATGCATTTATAGATTGTTTTGAAGGGAAATGGTAATGGAATTAATCAAGAAACTTACTTGCATAAGTTCCAACCCTTCAATGGAACAGAAAAAGATGAAGGTTTTGGGGTTATAATGAACATAAAATCATCCTTAGTGCAACTGGAATTTTGCTCATTGGAGCATTTACAATCCTTTGATTGCTATTCAAAAATTGGTGATTCTACATTCTCGTAAAGGAAATAACACACTTTCTGATTCTGCGATCATAAACTAGTTATTTATCTTAACCTTGAGGATCCTATATATGGAAATCACTCACCCAACTCCTGACCATATGTGAAGTGACAGAGAAACCGCACATAGAATCATGTGTATATATATGGCACTGAATTATCATTGGAATCCAAACTCCTAGATTCCTCCAAAAAAAAAGTTGTCACTATTTACACAACTAGGAATCTGTTTCTAACAACAATACCACCAACATAACTGACTTGTTATTCAAGTTCAAAAACTTCACATGCAAACCAATTTGTGTACTTATCTCATCAATCACTAAACTCTACAAATGACTTAGTTACAACCCCTTCATCCCACGGAAGTTGTAATGTTTGCTTTTATGCATAACTCGATAAAAATGTATGACTATTTGTTTGATAAAAATACTCAACTGTTAGTCAAAGGTCTTCAAGAAACTTTTTAACAACAAAAATAATAAATCTTCTGGACCAAAAATCAGTAGCATCAATAACTCATAGCAATCACAATTAGAAAATAAGTGGTTTTAGCTTGAAATTTTTCCCAAGGAAGAGGGACATCCCAAAATTATAACTATTGCAGTTTCCATGGGCTAGAGGAGTAACACTTAAAAATCACCATAAAATTAAGATTATGAATGCCTATTGGAGATTGCTATTTCAAATCTTGAACTTGAATAGAGCACTTGTTAGTCTTTTGCAGACCCATGACTATCTATAAGGATGAAAAGCTTCTTGAACATCAAAGATAGCTTCAATAAATGACTGCTTAACAACATAAAACAAAGCTAAGCAAAGAACACAAAGTCATACAATGTAAACCACATCCAACAAAACCCCCTTTTCAGAACTCTCGATTACAACATAATTAGAATTAACCAAATTACAATAATAAGTGTTTCACAAGCTACGGTAACAAACCCAAAGCTAATACACGAAAGTAACAGAGCTAAGCAAAGAACACAAAGTCATACAAACCAAAATCAGTCAAACCACAACTTGACACATTATTGATTCACCAATTCTCAGAGATCTCATAAAGGATGAATGACTATGATCAACATTAAATATTATCACAATGTATCACACCATGAGCCAAATAGATTATGATCAACACTAAATGTACCACAATGTAGCACAAATTGATCATCAAAATGTGCTACATTCTTCTCTAAAAAAACAGAATATTAATCATTCAATAGTGTTTAAAACAAACAACCCCCAACACTAAACCCTAAAACTGATGCTTTAAACCTAAAATCGTGTTAGGGAATGTAATGAGATGATACCTGTTTCTTCGATAGCTATAATATCAACATCGTTGTCTAGTTCAATGGGTTGGCTTTCTTTATTTGAGAACTTAAACATCGATTTCGCCTTTAACCTATCGCTCCTTCTTCCTGTACCATTCCACATTACAGAAACAAGGGTTACGGGATTATTCATATTGAAAATGAAGAACATAAAATCGATTATACCTATTCCTTCGTCATCCTCCATCGTTTATGTATAGACTTGCACTTGCGATTACTCTTGYGATTACTCTAGGGCTTAAGGCAGTTGTCTCCGTCTCAAATACAGGAAAGTATCTTCACCATATTTGGATTCGAATTGAACGAGAACCTTAACGGATTTGAGCGCGGGCTCAATAAAATAAAATACAAAATGACCATCTTGCCCTTATTCATATAATGTCATTAAATGACATTAATTTATTTATAGAAATACAATAATTAAGATTCTATTTAATCTTACCCATTGATTTTTTTAATATATGGTTGAGATTGGTTCTCACAGTTACCACAAACAATTTAGTTCTCATTTGATTAAGCCCCTATATATATATATATATATATATATATATATCAAAATTCAAACCAAAATTAAGTTGCACGTTTACATGGTGTTTTAGCTGATATGTTTAGGTAGACGAGTTGTTTTCTTTCTTTTTCTTCGTATCCCCCTCTTTACTTTATGGGTTTTTCATGAAAATGTTTTTCCATCGTTTAGATGTATTATCCAGATTAGGATCTAACGGATTCATGTTCGTGGGTTATGTGGTGATCATTGAGGTCCTTGTCAAAAGATATGTCCTTTATAACTTTTTTTGATTAGTTTACACATTTTTTAGGAATCATTAAGCTTTTAGCAAGCATTACTGAATTATCTTCAACCTAAGTTTACTACATATCGACCAAAACCGTCGACTTTGTATTTGACATCTATTGAGTTGACCATCAAGGAGCGCATCAAGCTTGTCATTGAGTTGTTATTGGATATTTATCGAGTAGTACTAATCGTGTAAGTGTTGGAAATTTGTCGGTTGGAAATTAACCTTCCATCCCACATTGGTAGAAACTTGTTTTCTAGAGAAGCTTATAAGGCTTTCTCTAGAAGTAGGCTTAGAACATGTTGGTGAATTCATGGTGAGGGTCTTGAGTGGAAGGCCCAACATGCACGTGCGTGGCCAAGGCCGCGGGAGCGAGATTCGCGAAGGTGGCACGAGGAGGCGCATTTTGCACTTCGCACGCCATTCGTCAGGAGACTTGGCTTTAGAGATAATGTTCGGTTGAGAAAATTTCTCACCACTATCTCCGATTTTTTGGAGAAAATCATGGGTGGTTCTAGGGTTTCACCCAGTATAAATACTGGGTGAAGCCGTATCATTATACACATATACGAATATTGATTTCCTCTCCGACGAATACTGCTCCTGAGTTTTGTTTCTCTCTATCGTTTTCTGAATCGATCCTGCTTTACATTCGTTTTTGATCGTTGTTCATAAACGAATCGTGTACTGCATCAAATCCTGGGGCTTTGCGACTAGCAGACTCACATCGGATTGAGAGTGGTCGTATAAAACCTTAAATGACAGGTTTTACTATGCAGTTTATCATCCGAATCAATAGTATATTAAACAGATTGGTTTTATAATTTTTTGCATTGTATTTAATTTCATGTTCACTAAGTGAACACTCTGCTTCTACCCCTTTCTTTCATTGAATCTATCGAGAAGGATATATTCAATCTGTGTGAATTGGCACGTATTGAGGTTTTGGTGTGTCTTAATTCTAAAAGGTTTAACCTTTTTTGGCTATAATATAATTAAATTTTATAAAGATTAAATCTTTATTTGGTGTTCATTTTTCTTATTGGAATTATTTTTCAAGAGTAAGTACTATCATGTAATCATCATAATGTCATAATGGTTTACTCGTAACTCGGATATAGATGATATTTTTTCAAGTTGCTTACTTTTTTGCTGTACAAGTGTTGGCAGAAAGTTTGAGATCCCTCGAGTAACCATTTGGGTAGTTATCGATTATTTATCGTGTAAGCAATGAAAACCCATTACAAATTCATGAATTTGTAGAGGACCAAATAAAGAAAATCAGGAGGACACGTATTTCCTTGATATATGTTGCATCTATAAAAAAGATAAATAATTAAATGGGTTTGAGTTTTCAAAGAAAGAGAGCGAAGGTAAGATCAAAAGTATACTGAAAAGTATTTTGAAAAGAAAATGGAGCATCTTTATACTATTCTATAAAACATCTGATAAAAACTCATAAAAACAACTTATCAACATCAGCTACTATTTATTAACTCATAATCTTTTTAAAATTTAAAGTTACAAACTATTACCGTAGCCATACAATTTTTTTAAGTTTCACGTATGAACTCCATAAAACTAACTGATAAATACGTTTAAATACATATAAATGTTGAACCATTCTAACACAAGCGAAAGTCCATTCTACCAACCGACACTCTAGTATAAAATTAAACCAAACCCCGCATCACTTGAATTTGGTTGCAAGGATCGTCCCTTTCCTAACATCCGTTAACGACACCGTTAAGTTAAAAAGACATTTTGGTCATTTTTTTTCTTCCAAAAGAGATAGTATAGTAGTTGTTAATGTTTATGTATGAGTCACTAAATCATTTATAAAGAAAATCAAACCCACCCTGTTCCCTTCCCCCCCACCGTCGTGCTTTCGCCACCCATTGGAACACCCCTACCACATCGGTTTGATGAGTAATCTTAAATAAATTTTCTTAGACAAACGTTAGGTATGGTAATGGGCTAGAAATAGGGGACATTGTTTTTGTTGTTACAAGAGATGAACAAGGAAGGGCACAAAAGCCTTTCTGTATTTGAACGGTTGAGGTATGCTTACGGTACGTTTGGTACACTCGATGGGACAAAACATGACATACAATAACAGAACAGGGACCTTGTTCCACATTTGGCAGAACTCATATATGGAACAGACAGGAACAAAGTGGAACAGACTTGTTCCACCCCTACCCCATGAAACAATGTTGAACAAGGTGGAACTGACTTATATTTTACCAATATAACCTCAAAATAAAATTTAATTCTCTTCTAAAGCATCAAATAAGTCTCTTTTTTACATTTTATTCGTTCTTTAAATTTTATTGATTGTATTTTATGTTTTTTAAACTTTTATTTTACTGTCCTCAAAATATTATTTTTATACTATTTCTACATTTTTATTAATTCATGTAATTTATTGTATATTAATAATAAAAAATAATACAAAAAAGAAATAAAATAAAAATTGAAAACTACATAATTTTTTTTTATTTTGGTGTCATTTTAATTATTTTGACAAAAACTTTCTAATGATATATTTTGCTATGAAAAATAATTATTTTATTATAATTTAATAGTTATATAAATTAATCAAAATATATAAACAGCTCATTATGTTAAATTGGTCATTTTATTTGTTCTGTTATGTCAAGTTATGTCTTACAAAAAGCTGAACAACTGTTCTGTCATGTCATCTTCTGTCCAGTTCTGCTTTGTCTCTTATCTTGTCTGGATACCAAATGCACCTTTTATACCTTGATTGTTCATGTTGTGTATTTAGGAGATATTGTCTTCTTGGTTGTATTAATTTTCAAGATTTAAGATGGATAATTGGGTGTTCATTTTATATTGGTTGATAAACTTTGGGTATTAGCAGATGTGGCCAAAGAAGAGGAACTGGGTGACCGAAGAAAAGAAGGTTGGTAGGGGAGAGGGAAGACGAAGAAAGGGGGAAGGGTGTGTTTGATTTTAAAAAAAATGATTTTGATGACTTGGATACAAGGTTTATAGACCTGTACACTAGCTTTTATTTATTAAAAAAAAAGGAAAAATGACCAAAATATCCTTCGGCTTAACCAAATGCTCTCAAATGACGTTAAAGGGATGGACGATCCATGCAAGCAAATTCAAAGGACGGAGGCTACCGGGCTAGTGTAATTTCTAAATAGGAATGAAGATTAGGGAGTTTGTCAATTACTTGGAACTCAAATTTTCCAATCAAAGCATTGTTTATGATAATAAAAACGAGTAAGTTACAACTTTGGTCCGTGTAGTTGACAAATTTTGTGGATTTCCTCCATTATGCATTTACTACAATTTTGGTCATTGTGGTATGAATTTTTGCACGAATTTGGCCCTTATGTCAAATGTTCGTTAAATAAGTGTGTTAAGTAAGGGACATTTTGGACCCCTTTCATCGCCTCCCCCACCTCTTCACCATCTTTAACGACCTCCCACAACCCCCTTCATCGTCTTTGACAACCCCTCCCATTTGTTACCTGAATCACAAGCGAATGCAATCTCCCATTGATGCTCTAAATCGAGCATGGACTCATTTATCATCCAAAGCCTCGTGGTTTTCTCTCATTAGAAATCCCTTTTCATTATGCATGGAATCCACCATAATACATGTTACTGTCCACTATGCAAAGAATCTCTATCACTTACGTTCTGTTGCATCTTGAAGCAATACAATAATCTCCATGCCCGACCAAGACATCCACCCCAAACGTTTTAGAACAATTACCCACAAGAAAGGTGGTTCAAATCTTATCTGGAATCACCTCATGGAATTCAACTTACATTTAGAATCTCTCGTGCAATAAACCACAACCTTGTCCGTGAGATCAAGCATTCTGGGTTGCTTTGTATTAGGAAAATAGGACAACTTACGACGCCTCTCCAACATCTCCTTATCGAAGATGCTACCGAAAGGGATTTGCTAAATGTTGCTTGCAAATATGTAGAACCAATTGCTTCCCGACACCTTTTATCGTTGCAAGTATAACTTGTTCTTGCAAAACCCACATGTTGGTTTGTTGGGGAGGAGATGGGAGTGATCGGTGATGCAGGTGGGGGATGCCAAAGATGGAAGTCTTATATTTTTTTCGTAATTTATTTTTTAAGTGAAGGAATTTTGGTCTTTTTACCTCACTTTACAAATTTTTTAATAGACATTTGACGAAGGGATCAAAATTGGGCTAAATGCATGCTTCAATGATCAAAACTGTAATTAATGCAAAACATGAACGAAATAAGGTTAAAAGTGTTCGAGTTGTAATTTAGGAGCCACTTATCAAACACTTATCCGGTAAGCGCTTACCGACAAGATACATCACTCTCACTTACCTTATCATGTAACATTCTCGGTCGTCAAAATATATTGTTCGTAAGCATCTTAAACCCGGTAAATACTTATTGGGTGAAAGACAGCATATTTACTTACTGGATAAGACTTTCGATCCTTACCTTTCTCGGTCATTTTTATATTCACCCGATAAGGTTATTCAACTATAAAGTTGCGTTTGGTACATGGAACGAAACAGGACATGACGAGACAAAACTCACTGTCCCATGTTTGGTGCAACATGAGACCGAATAAGATCTCACTGTCCCATGTCTGTCGTGATATAGGACAGTGATAAGAACTGGACAAGATGGGACAACATAGGACAAAGAAACTTTTTTTTGTTCCACCAAAATAGGTGGAACAATATGTGACAAGAATGAGACATAAACTAAAATATTACTAGTCTACCATAGTTTGATATATCACCTTAATATAATATTTGTTTTAATGGTCATCACCGCTAGTTTAAGCCGCCGCCACCATTGGTGGCCCCCTCCACCTCCTCTTCTACTTCAACATCCTTCACCGCCTCCACAATCACCATCCACCATCATTAATCGCCAACTCTACCATAGTCGACCACCGACCACCATTGTCCATTACCACCACCACTAACGTCGTTCGCCACCTCCAACTCCTCCTCTACTACAACAACCTCTTTCACCACCTTCACAACCACCATCGACCACCGACTACCACCGTCCATTGTCACCTTTACAACCATCGACCACCACCACCCATTACCACCAACACTACCACCATTGGCCACCTCTAACTCCTTCTATACCGCAACAACCTCCTCCATGACCTCCACAACCACCGTTGACTACCGACCAACACCGTCCATTGCCACCTCTACAACCACCGACCACCACCGTTCATTGCCACCACCATTACCATCGTTGGCGACCTCCAACTCCTCCTCTACTGCAATAACCTCCTCCACGACCTCAACAACCACCGTCGACCATCGACCACCATTGTCCATTGCCATCTCACCTCCACCATAACCACCACCACCACTATCTTCACTATATCAGCCATAACTACATCCTCCATCGTTGTTAACCGCCACCACCACCACAATCTATCATCTTCACGTCCTTTATAACCACCGCCTTCCATCAACCACCACTGCCTCTACCTCCATAATCACCGTTGACCACCACTGCTCATCATCACTACCACCATTGGCCACCACCACCACTACTACCATAAATTATATCAAAAATTTCATTAAAATTTAGTACCAATATATATGTATGTATTTATATGAAAATTATGTGAAAATATTAATAAATTAAATTATATAATTATTTATTTTATAATATTAATTATAATAATTATATAATATTTAAAATCATGAAATATCTTTTGATTTTATTTGTACCAAACAACAAAAATACACTTGTTCTAATAAAATTATACCAGAATTAATAAATCACGACATCCGAAGGAGATTCCGACGTCGTTGGGTGCCTCGTAAATCGAAGCAACACTCCTCCACATGCTTCACTCTCCCCTCCATCTTTTCCGACATTCTCTTCCTACTCACCTCTCTTGTTCAGATCGCGAAGCTTCTGGATTCCCTTTGCTTTCCAAGTTCATTACTTCCATTTCGTTCTACACAACCACATCCATCAATCTTCTGCAATCGTTCTGGTCTCCTACGTTTGTCCTATAAGAAATGGGCGGATTCGCTTGGTCCACATCAGCCTTCGATTCAAAGTCTGGGCAGGTCATACTGTTGGTTCTTCTAGTAATGACTGCATCTTTCTATACCGGAACGTTTTTTGGTCGCAATTCTTCGTCAACACCATCATCATCGTCAGAATTAATAGGTACTGCCTTTTAAGTTTGCTATTAACCACAGATTTTGCTTAATTATAAATTACTTCAGCTTCTGTTTGAAAAATTCGCGTCTTGAACAGAATGGTAGTGTTTCTTTATATGGGTTTGCTAACAATTAGTTGTGTTTGTGGATCTGAATTTCAGGAATAGTAGTTTGAAAGCATGTTAGTTGCATCCTTGTAGATTGTAATTTATTATCTCATAAGATAAGAAAAATGAGATGAGCAAAAGCTGATATAGATATCTTGGTTAGAAAAAGGTTTTGCAACAACATGAATACCTCTATACCCTAAAAATGACCAAAGAAATCATGCAAAGGTGAAACCCAACAGATAACACTAGAGACAAACTCCTAGGGTTCCAGGATTTCATTACTAGACTTTCTGGGATCGCCTGTCCTAGTGCTCTGAACACTATTCCAGTAGTAAAGAGGAGATTACAGAAGAGCACATTTGAGTCAATATTACACATATTCACACACCCATAAGCTTCCAGGGATGGACCCAAGAATCTTTCCATTGGGTGGCACCATATAAAACGGTTGTACCTTCTAAAACCATATTGGATAGCACCTCTCACAACCTATTTTTTTTTAACCTTATGACGGAAAACCAATACGGTGGCAAGTGCCACCCTAGCCACTTAATTGGGTCCGTCCCTGAAAGCTTCTTAACTTTGAGTACAGATAGATACATAGGAACCCAGATGTATATGTTTGTCACTTGGTGTTATGCATAACATGGGGAAAACATCTGTATATCTCTCATAATCTAGGCTACAGGTTTTGATAGAGATGTATGACAGTAAGTCTGCACTGCACATCTCCAAGAACAAGATTTTCCACCAACCCATAAAGCATATTGAACTTGACTAACTTTGTTCTTGAAAAGATTGCGGTACTTCTCGTGACCTCTGGCTACTGAGCCAATTTGGGTTCGTTATGGGCATCAAGTATTAAGTTGCTGAGATAACCACTATGAGGTCTGAGTAGTCCTATTCTTGACAAGTTGGCATGTTTAGCATTTAATCCCCACCCTGACTTGAGGAAGATTGTGAGAATAACAGGGTTAATTGCATTATTTTTTTATAGTTATATTCATGTAATTAGTCTAGGTAGGTTTCCTTTATGTCAATTTATGGCTCACCATTATACTCTCTTTATTCACAGTTTGCCTAATGATAATTTACGCTTTTTCAAGAAACCTATTTTAACTTTAATTAGAGGTTGCTGTGGGACTCCTTGTATGGTAGGCAGCTTTGCATTTTTGGTTGCCCCTTATACAAACCAATTTATTTTTCAGGTAAACGGAAAAACTTCAAATATCATTTTGGGAATTTATATAATGTAAGTAGGTTTGGTTCAAAAGAATATTACTTGTTATTAGGTCAGATGATGAAGATTTCTCATTACCATGTCAATATTCTGTGGTGAGAGTAATTTAAGAGGACTGATATACAAGGTTAACCATCAACTTGTGCTGTTTCCTTCTTATCTGAATAAAAAGTTGAAGAATCCAGAATTGCTGAAATTTGTGTTCAAGGTAGCTATATGGCAGTCCTGCAATCCTAATGTCAGGCATGTGAACAAGCTGTCGTTTGCTAAAGCAAACATAGGGAAAGTGTATGTAGCCCAACTTGAGCAATAACTATTTCTCTCGAGCACCTTATCAGGTTGGATATTATGTGACACCTTTGTGAGCAGGAGTATGTTGTATACCGTAACTTCACTTTTTTCATGCATTTCTTTGATTTGTCTTTACTGGTCTTACTCAGCGAATCAGCTATAAATTATTTATAAATGAATACATTTTCACTGGTCAATTTCTTATGCTTGCAGGTAGTCCTATATTTAGTAACAAAGTCACTCTTACTCATCATAAATCACCACTTAAAATTCCAGAAACTGGGATGAACATATGCCCCATGGAATTTAATGAGCATATTCCTTGCCATGATCCTTCCTACATAAAAGAATTAATGCCAAATTTAGATCTTTCCAAGCGAGAAGATCTGGAGAGGCATTGCCCCCCACTAGAAAGACGCTTATTTTGCTTGATACCTCCACCACAAGATTACAAGATGCCAGTGAGATGGCCAACTAGTCGGGACTATGTGTGGCGGAGCAATGTGAATCATACACGTCTTTCTGAAGTAAAAGGTGGGCAAAATTGGGTGCATGAAAAGGATCAACTGTGGTGGTTTCCAGGGGGTGGTACCCATTTTAAACATGGAGCTAGTGAATACATTCAGAGGTACCTCCAATGGACTCGCTTTTATTTTACACACTTGCATGATTACACATTTGCCTCAAATTTTTGTTTAGAAGATACTCGTCATTTGCACTTGAGGAGAAGACTGGTGTCTTTTAACTGCTTTAGGTGAATTAATTATAAATTTTGATTTCTCCAACGTGATTCTAAAACTTGAAGTATATGAATTGCAAAAATTGGTCATATGTAAGATATTTAGTGTAGATAAATTTGAGGACTCTAAGGTAACTTCAAGTGAAGGGACGAGAGATGGGTGTGATGTGATTATCCGGATTTATATTGCATTATACTTTAATTGTATACTCTCACTCTATCAGCATGGCTGTTAAAAACATACAATTTGTGATAAGATTGTATGATTTGGTTCGACACATGAAGGTGACGCCGGTGTGAAATCAAGACTTGAAATCACAGCTGGATTAGAGATGTTTTGCGGTCAAATATCGGCATTGTATAGCGTTGCACAGTAATGTTTGATTATAATTTTACTGGGCCAGATAACTGGCCTCTTCATACAAATATGTAATTTACTGCGTTTTGGCCCAAAATTTGTTACGGAATTCTCCATGAAGTTGTTGGCCGGATGTCGTGATGGTGGCAAGATGATCGTGATTGTTGGTCTTTTTACAGCTGATTTGAAAAAAATTGAAGTTAATCTCAAGATTTACGTGATACAAATCACATTTGACAACTACTTAACTTTCCTTCAAACTTATTGCACCAAGTGCACCTAGAATTGGAGTGAGAAAGCCGAAAGGCCCAATATATATTGTGTGATTTGTGCAACCAAGAACCTTGAATGAACTTATTAATTTGTATTTATATGGGAAAAGTGAAATTATATGTGAATGCTATTTATATTCAATCCCATTCAATTGTGTAAAATTTGATATATGAAAGCACTTCATATAGTATCTTTGGATGTATGGCAGCTTAATTTATTCAAATATTTCATTAGTTGCTACTTGTTAAGGATATTTTTAGTCTTCATCAGATTTCTTGTTCCGTAAGCCTACAGCATGGTTTTCGCTATATTGATAAACAGTTTGATTCTGAATGTTCTCCTATGACCATTATTCAGTTTCAATTGCCTATGGCTCATTAGCAGATCTATTGATATATTATAGTTTTCCATGCACCTGAGCATGAACAATCTGACTTTGTAATTCTACATTTTCAGAAACACTTATTTGAGGATTGGCTGATTGGATATCTTGGTTGTAAGATCATTATGTTAATCCTATCAATATTAACATTGGTTATTTGAATGAGACTGGAGATGTGTTGTTTGGCCCTATTTGCTAGAGATGTGTTGTTTGGCCTTTTTTGCTATGTGTGTTTTCTGCATGTCTTACCTTTTTCGTATGTTTTCACTGCACCTACCTGTTAATTTCTTACCTTTTTGTTCGTGCTTCTTTCACCATATGCTCGCACTCACACAACCCGGGGGTCTTCATGGAAACAGCCGCTCTATCCCGTTGGGGTAGAGGTTAGGTGTGCATACATCTTACCCCTCCCAACCAAACCCTACTTTCGAGTGGGATTTACAGGGTTAGTTTGGTTTTTTTTTAATGAGACTGGAATTTTGGGTTTGGACGCTGCATTTAGTTTCAGTTTCAATTTATGCAGGTTAGGCAATATGACTACCGACGAGACCGGTGATCTTCGTTCCGCTGGGGTATATCAAGTTCTTGATGTTGGGTGCGGAGTTGCCAGCTTCTCTGCATATCTTCTTCCTTTAAATGTACAGACCATGTCATTTGCTCCCAAAGATGGTCATGAAAATCAAATCCAGTTTGCTCTGGAACGTGGAATTGCTGCTATGATATCAGCTTTAAGTACAAAACAGCTGCCTTATCCCAGCCGCTCCTTTGAAATGGTTCACTGTTCAAGATGTCGTGTTGATTGGCATGAGAATGGTATGTTTTGTATTATATAGACAAAAAGTTGGTCAGTTTAGGGTATACTTATACATGGTCGTCTGAACTTTTATGCTTTATCATTCTGTGCATTATATAATGGGGTACTTCTCACTTAACTGATCAGATCAGAGTCAATTGGATGGAAAATCAGGCATGGGTAATACTAGATATTTCTGTAAGTTCCAAACTGAGACCGATCACAAACAGTCATCAAATGTGAACTCTTTAGAGCTTGAGTTTGGCTATTTTCTCAAGCTGAAGGCGATTTCTATTAAAAATTTTGCAACCACTTCTCAACATTTTCGACCTCCCTAGTGACACATGACATAAAATTGAGTATTTGTAGCAAGTGGAGAGAGGAGGATTTGGTCGCGTAAAGATTTCCTAGGTTCCTAATCAAGCCTAATGGTCCAATATTAGGCTAATTACTGATGTGCCTAGAGAAAGAGATAGTATTTATATTGCAGAGTGGACAAAACACGAGGTGATAGAGAAATGTTGATACTCATTAAGAACTTATGAGAATAATAGAAAACAAAGGAGAGGAGTGTAATTCATAGATTGTATGTTTTTCTGAGTAATACATGACCCTCCTTAGATATATGCTCAAGATACAAAATATAAGATTAGACTTGCCCACTTTCCTATAGGCCGGGCAACAATATCCGTCAAACACAATTTACTAAAGATTTGGTGGAGAACTTACGACTAAGAGCCTTACTGATAATATAAATAAGCTGGCTTTTCTTTCTTGTTTTCTTGTTCTCTTTCTGATAGATTATAAGTGCCAAAGTTATGTAGCCAGGCCATGACGCTTGGGAAGCCCAATTGTGCATACAAATAACATCCATATTTCTTAAATACTATGCTAAGTTAGAAACTCAATATCAAGCCAAACAAATGTTAGCTGAAACAATATTATATGTGACCATGGATGATGATGATTCGATTGGAAAAAAACTACTTCCAGTTGACAAGATCACAAGATGAACCTTTGACTTGACAAAGGAAACACATATGAGTGCTAGTGTATGTTTCCTTGATGGAGTGTTCTTTGAAACTGGTCCTGGTTCTTAATGATGCCGATGACCACATCATAATCAACACATAGGTCATGAAACTCTCTCATTGCGCTGCAAGACTATAAGAACTCAGAAGCTAAATGTGTAATAACTCTCTATTGCCTTTGATAGTCTGATTAAATAAAGTCATTACCTCTTGCTTCTTGCTTTACTAAGTAATTGAGGTACAATAGCTAGGGTTTGATCTTGTTAATTAAATTGCAGAGAGCAAGGAAATAACAGTTGGGAGGAATGCTGCATCTTATTCATCAAAAGTGGGCTCTTAAATAGCCACAGGAAATACAACGACTTGAACTGAAAAAGCTAAAAAACTGGAA